TAGCACAGTTTCTGGAAAATAGAATGAGAGAATGTTACAGGTGAAAGGGACCTTAGAAGGCCTCATTACCCTAATGCCTCCTCCCTCCACCCCTGCCATGGAAATTTTATTTTTTATCAACCCTGACTGTGCTTAAATATTCCCAGTGACAGAACCTGCTATCTACACAAGGTACTCCATTTCATTATTGAATCATCTTCAAGGAAAGAAAATATTATTGACATATGGCTTAAAACTGCCTTTGTGTAACTTCCACATATTGGTTCTCTTCTATGCTCTATTTTTTAAAAAAAACATTGGTCTTAAAAATATATATATATATATATATTTAATTTTGAGGTAAGTGTAGATTCATATGCAGTTGTAAGAAATAATACAGAGAGATTCACTGACCCTTGTCCAGTTTCCTCAATGGTAACAACTTGCAGAATTGCAATACAAAATCACAACCAGGAGATTGACATTGACCCAATGGAGATGCAGTACATTTCCATCACCACTAGAATCTCTCATGTTGCCTTTTTATAGCCACACCCACTTCCCTCTCATCCCTGGTGATCCCCTTTTGTTCTCTATTTCTATAATTTTGTCATTTTGAAAATGTTATACAAATAGAATCATACATTATGTAATCTTTATCATTGGCTTTTTTTCACTCAGCATAGTTCTCTGGAGATTAATCCAGGTCCTTGAAGGTATCAATAGTTTGTTCTTTTTTGTTTCTTAGCAGTAGTATTCCAGAGTATGGCTGTACCATTCACCTATTGGAGGTCATCTAGGTTTTTTCCAGTTTTTGGCTATTATGAATAAGCTGCTATAAATATTTGTGTGAAGATGAGTCTTCATTGTCTTCAGTCTCTGGGGTAAATGGCTAGGAGTGCAGTTTCTGGATCATTTGGGAGAAGGCCTGCGGAGGGCAGGAGCAGGATGAAGGGGGTTAACGGGGGTAAAAAAGGGGACATCTGTAATACTTTCAACAATAAAGATTTTTTAAAAAAGAAACTGATGGACTTCTTCCAGAGTGACTGTACCATTTTATATTCTCACCAGCAATTAATGAGTGACCCAGTTATCCTGCATCCTTGCCAGCATTTCGTGGCCAATATTTTTTTACTTGAGCTATTGTGATAGGTGTGTAGTTACCTCACCATGGTCTTCATCTGCATTCCCATAACAGCTAGTGATGTTTAACATGACTGACCTGACATATGTGTCTTCTTTGTGTATATTGCTTAAGTTCTAATTATATTCTTTGCTTCCTTCTTCCTGAGTTTTGAGAGTTCATTGTATGATCTCCATATGAGTCTTTTCTTGGATATATGATCTGTAAAGATTTTCTCCCACTCCGTAGTTTGTCTTTTTGTCCATTTCACAGACCTTTTGCAGTGCAAAAGTTTTATATTTTGAGCACATCCAATTGTCAGTCTTTCCTTTTATGGATAGTACTTTTGGTACCAAGTCTAAGAACTCTGTGCTGACCCTAGATCCTGAAAATTTTCTCCGGTGTGTTTTTTGTTTATGCTTTATAGTTTCACATTTTACATTTAAGTTTATGATTCATTTTGAATCACTTTTTGTATAAGGTGTGAGACTTAGTTTGAGGTTCGCACCCCCCCCCCACCACCACCACCCAGTGAAAGTCCAATTGCTCCAGCAAAATGATGTGTTAAAAATCTTTTGGAAAATAGTATATAACCTTGGGCAAGGCAAATTACCTGCCTGGTTCTGTTTCCTCTGTCTTACAAGTGAGGGGGTTGCATTCGGACTAGATAAGTGTCATTCAGGATCCATTCCTGAAAGTGGAAGGTCTGGGGTCGCAAGAGCCTCAGGAGCTGGAACAGTGAGGAGCAGGTGGGGCCCCTCCCTGACTTCATCCAGGGCGGGGCTGCTTCTCATGTTTAGGTTTTTGAGGGTCTCTCTGATGGTTGATTTGATAAGGGCCCCACTCCTAAAACCAAGCTTGAAGAGCACTGAGTCAGGTAATATCTGAAGTGTCTTTCCAACTGTTCGGTGTCAGAAATCACTTTCCCTTTAATGTTAACCTTCAGGCTCTTCTCTCCGTTTCTTGAGAATATACTTATATGAAATGTTTTCCTTGTTATCCTGTCATCCCTCTTTATAAATATGACAGGCTTCATGAAATCAATGAAATCACATTTCATAAACCAGTTTACAAGGTATATGTCGGAATTTAAAATGTGTTAAATATATTAACATTTTGCAGTGGAATCATCCATTCTAAAGGGTTATCGTGGCTGAAAGAGAGGATAAGGAACTAAAATCACATGTAAGCCATGGACCCATCTTTCAACCTTTACAAACAGCCGGACCTCTCCTACCATACACCTGCCTAGCTCTTGCCAGTTCACAAAGCACTTGCAAAAGCTTTCAGCCAGTTCATGAAAGGTTATTTGCAACAGCCTGTCTTAGGCTTTCTTATGCCTGCCTTCAAAGTGACGAAACTGAGATTCAGACAATTTGGATGACTTTCCCAAAGTAATAGAACTAGCAAGTAAAAGACCTAAGACAAGAGCTCATATTTTTAACACCTCGTCTAGTTATTCTCCCATATATATATTTTAATCCTCACTCAAGGATATTTTTTCCATTGCTTTTTAGAGAGAGTGGAAATGAGAGACAGAGTAAGGGAGAGAGAAAGAGAGAGAGAAAGAGGGAGAGAGAGGAGAGAGAAACATTGAAACATCGATGTGAAAGAGCAAATGGAGTCGTTGCCTCCTGCATGAGCAGCTACTGGGGTAGGGTTTCAAGGGAGAGAGAGGAGAGAGAAACATTGAAACATCCATGTGAAAGAGACAAATGGAGTCGTTGCCTCCTGAATGAGCAGCTACTGGGGTAGGGGTTCAAACTTGCAACTCAAGTTTGTGCCCTTGACTGGGAATCGAACCCACCACCCTTGGGTGCATGGGCCGAAACTCTAACCACTGAGCCCCACTGGCCAGGGCTCTCCTTTTATTTTATAATGTAAAGATTTAGTGGGTATTTTCAAAAAGTTGGCATTTTCTATGGTCACTTTAAAAAATGTAAAATGGGTTAATAACAAATGAACTCAAATAGTTGCAGTTTTTTTAAAAAAAATTAAAGAGAGTTAATTGAGATAGTGCATTTGAAAAAAAAAGGTTACACTACAAAGTGCTGTTTAAATGATGGTTATTATTGTGAGCTTGGCTACGTCTCTGCATTCTAGCAGGCAGCTGTGTGTGCTTGCTGATTCCTATTCATTGGAAATGTGTTTGTTTATATCATAGTATATTATCTATTTTTCCTTTTAGTACCCATGTGGCCACATTGGGAACTGCCATATTAATAAGGCTCAAACATATTTGACAGGGTGGTTAGACTTAATGATTTCCATAAAGTTGTTTTTAATAGTTATTTTTCAACAGATGGACAGTTTCTATGGGCCACGTTCATGTGCCAGTGTGATGATTGAAGTTTTCAACAGATGGCATACAAATACTTGGGAAAACACCCTCCCAATATTAACTGCTATAAAAAAGACTTTGAGAGTGCCAGGAAAATAATGGTTTGTCTTCTGAGTCCTTAGCTGATGCTATTATGATTATAATTTTGATGATTTGGAAGTTTCCCTTTCTGGCACTTGGATTTATTTTGTAGACGAGTGTACACATCTATGTTAGATGATGAGGAACACTTTGTTGTCAATTAGATGTTCAACATGGATTTCACGTTAAATCTCCTTTTGATTTTTGAACGATGTTCGTAACTTCCTCTTGTTGAGTCATTAGACTTCTGTGCCATAGATAGAAATGTTAACCTTCCATAAAAATACACTTAAGAGACATATGTTCTTTCTGAAAAGTATTGATTTACAAGGAAAAAAAAATCTGGTCAAACTTAGACTTTTCAGACATGTTCATCATTATGATGAGTTCCCCAACCTTCCAAATTACCCCACTTCAACGCTGACCACCTTGTAGTGGTTCTGGAATCAGTAAGTGAAGAATCAGACAGTAAGCAGGGCAATGGTGGGGAGGGGAGAAATCTTGGTCATTGTTGTTGTCACAATGACAAAGGGCATTCACTGTTGTGCAGTGGGGAGAGGCCAGCGTGCCTAGCAGGCACAGCATAGTTCGGCACAGGGGTAAATATCCTGTATCCTATCAGATGCCTGAATATCTGACTGGACACTCATCCAAGCCCAGAACTTATGTCTGCTTAAGTTAACTCAAAAGTAAGTTTTGCAATACAGTATTTTATTTTTTTTGCACAGAATATTAGTAGCCGCCTGTACCTTTTTGATTTTATTATGCTGCTATATGAAAGACCTCTCATCGTCTGCTTTTCAATCCTGATTTTTTCATGTTCAGAAAGTGCAAGAACATAGATACTTTATTATGTCTTTTTGTGTAGTTATTTACATAGTAAAACAGATATTGATATAAATGTCCTTCCCGTTTCTATTCCAAACATGGCATCATATTAATGTTTTTGAAAATTTTGTCTGTAGGTAAATAATATTATCTGTAAATTTTTGGACTTAAAGAGAATTATAAGATGCTTATTATAACAAAGGGGCCCTGGAGTTGATCAGGAAGAAAAGCATTGCAACAGGCAATTAAGCAATAGCAGACAAAGTCTTTCTCCTCTTGTCCACTTGTGCACACATAGTTTGGTGTTGGAATCTTTCAAAGAAGTAGACCAGGGCATGAGTCTAAGTCTTCAGAGAGGAAGGAAGAGAGATAGAGAGTTAGAAACATCGATGAGAGAGAAACATCGACCAGCTGCCTCCTGCACACCTCGTACTGGGGATGTGCCCTTGACCGGAATCGAACCTGGGACCTTTCAGTCCATAGGCCGACGCGTTATCCACTGAGCCAAACCGGTCTGGCTGTGCGTCTAAGTCTTTAATGAGTGTGATCCCAATAAATTCTGTTTCCCATCACTTCTATGGAAGTCTTAAACTGATTTTCTTTGGTCAAGTCATGTTGGCTAGATTTTCTTTATGTCTGTCATTACAGATGGCGGTGAGTGACTTCAGTTTGACCTACCCTGGCAACCCCCAGCCAGGGGACTGATTGAAGT